GTGTAGTGAGATTAACAACGGTACACGAGTGGGACTTCGGCTTTGAAAGCCCATATCAATGATGTCGAACAGTTCACAAGTTGGTATTTGTTTATGCCCAGCATTGAAATCTGCAATAATTTCAGGAAGGGTTGCGCATCCTGTTTAATGATTCTCATCAGTCGTCATTGGACCCATTCTTTCACGAGCTTTTTCCAGCAGCAGCGATGCTGGAGACTTGATGTTTTATCAGATGCCCGATATTTACGGTGCACTCGTGAAATGGTCCTACGCAAAAATCCCAAATTTTATTGCTCGCTTGGAGATGCTATGTCTCAACTCTTGTGCGCCGAATATAACAGCGCCTTCAAATTCACTTAAACCTTGATAACCAGCCATTGTAGCAGCTAACCGATCTAACCACTTTGCCAAACGCTTGTTGTCTTATATAGGCGTTACCGACCACAGCGCTTTACTGCACTTGGTTCTATACCTGTCATTTGCACACGTACGCCTATACCAAGTTTTTGCCCCTTCAGCGTATGTAGTTTTCACACTACATGAATCTTTTCCAAGACAATTACCCACAGTTCCAAATGGTTACATGAGATTAATGTGGTCCTCTTAGAGAGGTGATATTCAATAAAATATAATTTAATTTTTTCAGAAATATGATCATTTTGAGAAGTAGTCAACTGAGAAAGTGATCATGAAGACAGGGTTCATTCATAATTGTTTATTTAATTACTGACAGATTAATTTTAGTGGTTTCTTGCTGGAAAACAAAGTTAATATTCTTTGATGCATTAAAAAATTTATCAAGAGTTTTTTCATCTCTTACATGGATAATGCAATGAATATGAAGACCACTGTCAGTCCAGATTCAATGTTGTATTTCTTGATACAAATAAAAACATTTTTCTGCAGTGATCAAGGCATTTATAGAACAGATAAAAATTTCCCATTCCTGTTAAAAAGCATTTTATAGGATTTTGTCATATGCTAGAAAATATTTATAGCAGTTTGGGAGATTTCCTTAATGCAATCATAAAACTCTAATAATAACAAAGCCCCGTGGACAATGCTTTAGTTATAATAAAACCGGTTAGCTCTAATAATAACAAAACCACATGGACAATGCTATTTCACACTGGGGGGGGGACCTATGAAACAAATATGAAATGTAATAAATGAGGTTTTTTTCCAGGCCTAATTTATAGCCTCTCGATTCTACTGATTTTTTTTTTTTTGCATTGTGCACGAATTTGACTTGAGGCATCTTTAAACTTAAATGACATCAGAATTAAGGCGTCTTAACAACTGCAATCTGCTATAATAGCTTCTTTGTATTTAATTTTTGTTTTAAAACACTTTCCGATACATGCTTTCCATGCATGATGCCAGACCAGTGTTGTCCTCGATTTTCTTTTTTTTAGTTTGCAAATTCAAGTCAAGTATGATTTGCATGTACAAGTTCCTCCAATTCAAGTGATTTCAGGGCACATTTTCATTTTTTTGGAGTGGGGGAGGACGGACAAAAGAGGAATATATTTATACAATGATAAATTATGGGCAGAAACTGGAAACAGATTAAAATTGGGATCCATCGTTTTTCCAAAATGCAACTGCACGTTCTTTTCTGAAGATTTCTTTCTGATTGTTTTGTCCTCAGCAGTGTCCTAGTATTCACTAAGCGTTCTACACAACCATCTCCATTTTCCCATAATCAGAAGATCCTTATCTGTTAAGCCTCATCATGCAATCCAAGCAATTATGCACTGACATCAAACTGGATTTCTAGTCTTCTCCTCTTCATACCAATACTATACAAAATCTTTTTCTGCATTGAACTTTGAAACTTACAAAATTATCCATGAGAGTGGGAATGAGGTTTTCCAAGATACCAATCCAAATTTCTCTCTCAGACTTTTCTTCATCATTTCAATTCGATTTTACATCCCATTGAAATATTTCTGGAAAATTTTCAACTTATTTTGCTTTAAACATGGCAAAGCTGATTAAGGCAGACACACTTTCCCAAAGATTAATTAATCATAGTAAAATTTGAAACTGAAGTCATACCATGGACCCCCTTGGAATATTATCAATAAGCAGAAAATGGAATTTTAAAATAAGTCTTAGACCCGAAATGAATTGGCAACCATAAGAAGTTAATATTCAACCAGACATTCACAGACCTTTTTTTACTGCTTGGAATTAAGATTGAGTAACATAATAATGCCGCCTATCTCTACCCATATCCAGGACTGGAAGATAGGTGACGTAAGACTCTCCAAATGATGACATACTTTGATCACCTCAGTATCTTCAGGTGATCAAAGTAGATGTGGTAGTATCAAAGTAGACTTTAGAATTAGCAGAAGGAAAATAATATTTGCCTTCTGCCAATGACTACAAACAGATAAATATTCACTCATGCTTTGGCCCTGCTGTAGTTATACACTAGAAAGCTAGTCTTAAAATATTTTAAGGATCCTATGGTTTTTTGGTTTTAAAGTATTTTTGAAAAGGTAGCTACAGGCTTTACTTCCTTACATAGCAAACCTAGATATATATACTTTACAAACACAAAGTTGTACTTAAAAATGAAGTAAAAATTTTAATGTTAAAAGTATCAACTCTGTGAATAAGGGGATTCCGTAATGAAAAAATTAATCTTCCAATTAGAAAACTGCTCATTATCTTTTAATACAAAATATTTTACTTTTTGTGCAAAATTTATGAAAATATACCAATTTGAATAATTTTCCAGCTTCTATTCCTGATTAAAATTGAGATTTTTCAACATAATTTTGGGAGTATTTATTAAAAAATCAGCTCATTTTGGTGATTAATGGTTTCATATTGCACAAAATAATACTTACTATTAAATGTTTGCAATTGGTTCCATAATTAGTTGAGCAAATATTTAGAAATTTGCATAGTAATATATGAAACTTGCTATATGTGCTTATTATAGTATAATACATGTTCAACTTACTCAAATTATTCTACTATATTTGCAGACTGTCTCTTCAACCTACAGCATCTAAACATAGCTCACAAAATACACTTTGAAAATTTTTGAAAGTGGAAGTGTCAGTATTTAATAATATGTAATTAAAAAACTAAAACCGGTTATAACTTTTTAAAGCTTCCGCGTGAGCACTGTCTTTAGTTAACCTTTTTAATAACAGAATAGTTGAAATTTGTGCATCAATTTAAAGCTCAAATACTCACTTAAAATTGAAGTACAAATTTCCCCTCTTTGAAATAAAAGTTCTAGCTTATATTTAAAACATTCCATTATAACATATACAATCTAGTTACTATTATCTGATATAATAATTATCATCTACAATTTATTTTTCAACCTCTTAAAACACATTCTAGTTCTTCAGTGCCGTTTTATTTTATGCAAACTGAATATTGCTTCAAATTAATCAAAATCATCCTTTGTTAATCTCAATGCCTTAATGTCCTATCTTTATATAAACCTCTTTGCCCCATGCCTATCATATATGACATGGCTCAGTTTTGCTCTGTGAGCCCACCGTATCAAATGGAGCAAAGTGTCACTGATGGCCCATCATACCATATTTGATATTGTTACGAATTTGGTATTTAAAAAGCTAATGTTAGTTCAATTATAATTTAAATGGTTTTATTTCTCGCGCAGTGCAGCGCGTGACGAATATTAAAAGAAAGCTAAGCCGGAAAATTGAAAATACAAGAGCGCGTGCATTAAATAAATAAATATCCTTTTTGATTTCGAGAAAGTACTGGAAAATTCTAGCGCGTGATTTTAAAATCTTATAAAAGGAGGAAAACATCTCAGTTTGTAGTAGTTGCTTAGTTTGTTGTTGTTTAGAAAAACTGCTCTTGTTGATTGTAGCGAATTCGCGGATTAGCGTTCTTTAGCTGTTTTGAATTACGTTCTATTGGACATTTGAGTAGTTAAAGATAACTACTGTGAGATATTGTAATACTGCATGATAAATGAGAAAATTTAAGCATTTTTGTTGTGATAATAATAAATTTTTGTTCATTTTTCATCGGACTTGTGCATTCATTTCATAACGAACCCGTACGCACGCAACAATATGTTAAAGGGAATGTACAATATCAAATTTTAAATACACATAAATTATCCCAGAATACTGTGAAAACTTACTGAATAGAATTTCTAGAGTGTTAGAACTGATGTGATGAATATTATTTACTATTTTATTCTATGCAAGTAAAACACATGATGCCAACAATGTACGTTAAAAATAAAAACCTTCACGTAGTACAAGCAATTTAAAATTTGCATATGTAAATAAGGCAATAAGATACAATAACTACTGATATTTAAATTCTTAAGTTTTTTACATCATTACTATTAATATTTACTTACTTTGAATTTTTATTTTATGTATTAAGATTTTCTGCTCATATTACAAGAAATAATATTTAAATAACAAATGCAAGTGTCCAAATGTTAAGATAAAAAGTAGGTTTTATTTTTGTATGCTAAGATTAATTGCAAAATTTGCTCGGGCACACAGTGATATTCAGCAGTTTAAGGCACAGGCAGATGGAAGGACTTCATTCACTCGAGGCTGGGAGCGAATAGGTTAAAATAATTAACATCAATCTATGTAAAAATACGGCCAATGGCACTTTTATTTAATATTAATACCAATTTAGCCACCTCTAAGGCCATTCATTCATTTCTCACAAACATCAAGAGATACAAAATGCTTTCCACAAGTTTCACAAAGACCCATTTTGCCTCTGCAGCAGGTAATATTTTTTTAAAAGCATACAGTGAATTGCATGAATCTTATTGAGTTTCATTTTTATCAATAATAAAAATTAGGTTATTTTGTTACTCATGACAATACAATAGATAAATATCACCTTGTCAATAAATATTTAAATTTTAAACAGTTTCGTAAAATAACAAAACTCTCATTTTGCAGTAATTTCTACTCATCTATAATTCAATGAATAGACACAAACACCTGATACAAATATACAGTGATTTATCATGACTTTAATATATACATATCCACTCCATATGTTCATAAGACAGGACAAAAGCAGTTATAATAAAAAATTCAGTTTCAGATAATCAGTTACCTGTCAGTTAATCAGTTAGTAACAATGCTTTAAATCTATTTAGGATATTGGTGGGGAAATGTTACTAATGATTTTATCGTTCTTTAAATGTGTCATTTGTATATAATAATATTATAAAGGGGGGAAAGTGCATTCTGGGAAATTAAATAATGGCACAACAGAAAGTTTGTTAAAAATTGAGATATTTACATAATTTTATTTATATGTAAAAATATATTTTCTTTTCAACTTTGCCTTTTCCTTCTGTTACGGTTTTTGACATTGGCTGTGTCATAAAAATGCACTCCTATTTTCTTTATTTTTTCTGCTCTCATTAGTCTTCTCCTCTGAAATAAGAAATTTTTGAATCATTAGTTTCAGTACTACTCGTATTTAACAGAAATATAAAATAAAAAAAGTTGGGGGAAAATATTTTCTTTTTTTCTCTTACACAAATGAAGCATTAGACAACACTAATAAAATCATTCTTCATACATTTAACAATATACATACAGTCAAAAGTCGTTAATTCGGGCACTCATAATCCGGACCTCAAAGCTAAAAACTTTCTGCGCATGCGCTGCGTTGGCACATGCGCACAGGCGTTTTACGCGTGCGCGTAAGACCTTGACTACTGCGCATATGCGTGTGCGCAAGTGCAGAATACGTTTTCGGCTGCGCGTTTAATGTATAACGGACGGTGTAAGCTAAAATTATCTAATTATCTATTTCAGTTAATGTTAATGATTGTGTTGTTCCTTAATCTTGGAATTGGATCCCGCTTATTATTTTTTACAGACTGTAAGAGCAATTTTATAAAAGTAAACTTGAACTTTTCGATTATGTCAAAATAGAATTTCCGATGCTGGAACTTCCAAAGGATCTACAAAACGAAAGTATGTTTCGATGTCCAACAAACAAAAAGTGGAATTGCTGCAAAAAATGGATAAAGACATGAAGAATGTGACAGAGAGGTTAGTGAAGAAGACGAAAATTTCGATGACAAGTTAGTCGGTATTCTCGGCACAGCAATTAACGGGACTTGACAGCGGAACTTTGTAACTGAACAAGAAATGATGTCTGTTTATAGAATTAAAGAGAAAGTATTATCACATAAAACGAAGCAACTTAAACAACTTATATTGAAAGAAATGTTTAATAAAGTAAACAAACAAATATTAAGCTTTTTTTTTGTAAATTTTGATACCCTTTAGATAGTAATTGTTCTTTATTTCATAAATTACGGTTTCATATTTTTAATTTTAGAATTTCTGCATGCCATCTTACGAGATTTAAACTGATGATCTATAATCCGGAATCGCTGAAGTCCCGACGAGTCCGGATTAACGACTTTTGACTGTATAAACAACATATTTGTAGTCAACTTGTCAAATTTATTAAATGGTTTATTGAGACCTTTCTTTAATGTGTGTGGGCAACACGCAAGCACCATGATGTTCTCCAAGATTGTCAGATAAGAAAAGTTGCTTCAGAAATCTGGTCGACAGCTTTTCTATAATTTTTATTAACAGCCTGTAGCACATTTTCAAGACTTTTGCTCATCAGTGGATGTCTAAGTCATAACAGTCTCCATCTAACATGTAACCTTTCTTTCTTTTCTTCTTTTTTTTTTGGTTAAATTTGGAAAACTACAATTGTTTTTTTATTTAGTTAAAACACCCTATTAAATTAAAATATTGCAGGTAAGACCATCCTTATACCCTTTTCCTAAATTTCATGCACATTACCTGTTTTTTACGCCTGCATATACCAAAAATTTCAGGAAGGTCTTCAACAGGAATGTGCACAAACTAGAATTAACTCTTTCGCATCGAGAGAGGGCAAAATCTCAATTCCTATAACATCAAAACACCTGTATCTCAGAATTTCTCCTGGAATGCTTTTCCTTCCCCCATTACAAGTTTGAATACTACAGCGCTAACAATAGCCTTACTTAAGTAAAGCTAGAACTTCTTTCTTCGACGCTTTGACACTCTGTGAAGTTCCTCCTTGGGATGGGATTGCAACTTCGGGCATCAAAAGCTAAACACTGACAGTAAACAAAGGAAACAAGGAAGCTTCTTTTAGTAGCTTCAAAAGAATGATTGACATGTGATTTAACAACACCTGAAAGCAATGAGTAATGCAACGTGATGGGGGGAAAAGCACTGGGTAGGAAATTATTCAGCCGTTTCGGGCATCCAGCTGATGTCTGAATGCTCGGGCATTTGGGGCGACTTCGATGCAAAAGAGTTAAAGACAAACTGCTTTACTTAGACTAATGCCATTTGGCAAACAAGGGAGGAATTTATGGATGAATAGTAAATTTCTTGGTGGAATAACACCTGGGAAAGGGTTTCTTGGTGGAAGTTCAGCCGAAACATTACGATGTGTGAAACAAATGATTAAACTGTATCACCTTGTTTAATAATACAGTAAAATTACCTTACCTGTTTATTGAAAAATAAACAGGTAATTTTACTGTATTATTAAAATAAACAGGTTGGGGAAATCCTAAGATGAAAATACCTAACAGCCCAATCTATTATTACAAAATGCTTGCATGTAGGTCTTTGCACTTCTTTTACAGCACCCCTATGTACTTACTTATTTTCCTTCCATGTTTTTTTTCTTCTTTTCCCCCCAAAAAAACTTTGTACATGTGTAAATAGTTTTAGTGAAATTGTAGTATTTTTTGGTATAATGTAACATGAAAATCTAAAGAAGAGATGCTTTCTTTGTCAGATGAGTAAATGGCTATTTCACGAGCACCAGTTTTGGTGACTAATTTGGCGAGAAAACGGTGAAAGTCGCAAAATGTGGCAACTATTTGATGCCATTTTGTCCGGTCCATGTATAACTGTAATGGTTATGGCAACTGAATAACTGTATTTGATGCTATATATGCATCCAACCCTCATATGCCTTCCAATAAGAAGTTGACAGTACTACAGAGTTCTCTATGGCTGGTTGAAAACTATATATGAGAGAGAACATCTGCTCTCAGTAGTTAGTTCAGAGCTGAACTCAGAATACAGAGATACCTATGAGAACTTCAAAATATTAAAAAAAGCTTTGCAGCTTAAAATGTTAATTGCTTAAAAATATTCGTAATCACAGTCGAGTTGATATTTACAAATTTTTACAATAAGATTTCTTTAAAAAGAATTATAATTGTATTGAATGAAGAAAAAGTGAATGGATTTGGAATCTGTGCAACAGAACAGAAGCTATCATGGAGTATTTTTTACAATTCCATTCACACTGAACATAGAAAAAGGCCAAGAAAACTTTCATGGAACAAGCATGTTCGCCAAGATTTGAACCCTGTCAAATTACCAGTGCTCAGCGATTTCATCGCGTGGTCACTGGGAGACCCACACACAGATTTAAAATCCTGTTTAGAAATCTTTCATATTGATTTAGTGCGATAGGTGCCATTGTTTGAGGGTTAGTATTATTTGAATATAGCAAAACAAATAAGGACTATCTGCCCAAGGAGAGAGATGCTTTCATGCAGGACTTTCTTACGTAAAAATGGCTCATGTTCATGTTACACATGGAGAAAAGAATGGAGAAATGCACACAGCCATCCCATTCATTCATCTGGGTTTGAATCTAACCAGTATTCAGTGGTTTTTATCAGCCACTGATGAGGCTGTAGTATACATATATAAATATTACCAGACACTATGACATCTAAATTAAGAAATAATAATAATTAAAAAAAGTTCACTTTTGAAATAATCTTGAACCCAAATTAAGTTTTTTTAAATGCTAATGATTAATAAAATTATGAAATAATTCATGCCCTTTGTGTCATTTTCAGATTAATAAAATAAATATGGTTTTAATGAATGAATATGTAAACCTGCTATAGGTAAAAAAACACATTGAAATTTTCTTTTAAAATATCAGGGATTACTGAAAAAACTTGTGTAATTTATAAATGAGAAAATGAAGTATTTAGCCCGATTTTACATGTGTGAAAAAAAATAATGAATATTGATCTCCTATTTCTAGTTCCTCTTGTGTGATACTTGAATGGTTTTATATGTTTGGATTGATCCTTCCAATAAAGCCTACGTAACAACATGTTTTTAGTTTGAAAATCAAAGTGGGAAAACTAGTTTCTGAAACTAGAGAAATTTCTTGTAGGCTTCTATTTTCAGTGAAAGAATAGATTAGCTGCAAGCAATTTTTTATGATTTTTCTCTATATGTATATTAAATGTGAGCAAATCTTTCTTAGAAAGTTTGCAAGAAGTAGAATATATTGGAAGATAGATATCGCATGCTTTAGTAAAATTAGTAGATCTAAATCCAAAAGGCCGACAGTAATATGTTCGGAGCCCTATACTAAAAATCAAAAGTAGCAAAATGAAGAAGGAACATTTTGCAAAAAATTTTAAACTTCACTAAATTAATTTTATTTGGATTTGAAAATTATATTATGGTAAAATAAATATTCCTAGATGGTTGTCTTTTACTCAGCAAGACTCACTGCTTCTTGGAAACTGCCAATTCATTAATGAAAAGTTTCTTTTTTTTGTCTAAGAAACTAATCGTTCATAGAAAGGTCAAAACTTTGTGTGAGAAAGCTCTCCTATGGTGTTAATTTCTCAGTAAAGAGAGACAGCATTGAATGGGGAATAATAGTTTGTTTGTTTTATGACATCTTGACTTTCCTTTTCCTCAAAATTCAAGCATTACGAAAATCTTCTATAAAATGCTAAGGTAATAATTTTGTGTAATGAAGGAAATAAATTCTGGTAATAGAAAAAAGATGAAGGAATTCAAAGCATGATGAAAGTGTTTCATTTATCTTGAAATCAAACAACTTTTTTAATCACTTTAGTATGTATTTATTTATTTGTTACATTTTAATCTAATAGCTGAAAGTCTATTAGATTAAAATGTAATTAATAAATAAATAAATAGAAGAAAAACAAACCTTTTTTATTGCTTTAGCATTTGAAAGACTATCAGTTAAAATGTAATAAATAAATGGAAGAAAAATAAAACTTTTAAAGAAGAAAGAGAAAAAATAGAAATAAAACATATATATGATATATATATACAGGGGTTGGACAAAAATATGGAAACACCTTTAAAAAAACATGTTTCTTTGCTTAATATGGTGTAGGAAACCCGTTGGCATCCAAAACAGCTTGCAGTCTTCTCGGAATGGATAAATACAGTTCCTGTATGTTTGCCAAGGGAATATTATACCATTCTTCCTGCAAAACGGTGGCAAGTTCAGATAACGATGTTGGCGGTGGATAACGAGAACGCACTTTCCGTTCCAATGTAGACCACAAAGGTTCGATAATATTCAGGTCTGGTGA